TGGAGGAGCTGATGTGCCTGTCCTCGTCGTCGACGCCGGCGGCTGCCGTCCTTGTTGTGTTCGACGAAATGCCAAAGTCAGATAAAGTCGGACACTAATCCAGACGATTCTACCGTGTTGGGCGCGGCCCTCGAACAAAGACTAGGCACAGACATCCGGTTTTTCGATGAGAAAATCCAGACAAAACGGGCGTTCATTTGGATCGCTGTTTTGAAGTTGGTCTAATATAGCCAAACCCCTATCATCCGAGTGAAGTGCACGGTAGGTCCTTAAACTATTTTAGGGGTGTCACATAGGTCCTCGAATTATGAAAATCGCCATTCAGGTCCTCGAAGTACAGTAAGTGAGTCATCTAGGTCCAAAATCTCACTAACCCCCTCTAAATGGTCAACTGTCATGGTGAACAGTGCGAAAAATAAAAAAAATATGAACAAAAAATCTGAAAATCTTTGGCATCGAAGATACCCCTGGTGCGTGAATAGTAAAAATGTTCATTAATTTAAAAAAATGTTCACGAATATGGGAAAAATATTGGCGACTTCAAAAATGTTCACAAACAATAAATTTGAAAATATGTTCGCGAACCACAAATATTGTTCGTGGGTATGGAAAAAAATGTTCGCGAACCACAAAAATTTGTGACTTTAAAAAATGTTAGTGAACTTTTTATTAAAGTTGCGAATATTTTTTCCAAATTCATCGTTCGCGAACATTTTATTAAATTCACGAATATTTTTTCCAAATTCATCGTTCGCGAACATTTTTTTAAAGTCGTGAATATTTTTTCCAAATTCATCGTCCGTGAACTTTTTTTAAACTCGCGAATATTTTTTCCAAAATCATCGTTCGTGAACATTTTAAAGTCCGACTGTTTGCCGCGCACTGTTACAGTTACTGTTTACGTGCCAGCTGGCCAGTTAGAGCCTGTTAGGGAGATTTTGAACCTGAATGACACAATTACTGCACTTCGAAGACCTGGATGACGATTTTCATAGTTCAAGGACCTATGTGACATCCCTAAAATAGTTCAAGGACCTACAATGCACTTCACTCCTATCATCCCCGTAGCAGGCACATGAATCAGCAACACGCACAGACTACAGCAACCAGAGGAGAGATAGAGGGAAGGGATTGGGGAGGGATTGTACTTCCTTGGTGAGGGCGGGTACACTGACGAAGACGACATCATGACGGTGGGGTCGGTGGTGATGCAGGGTAGGAAGCGATCTCGGAGCAGCGTCCGGCCCTGTTCGCCCGAGTAGACGGGCCGCCGAGCGGCCTGGGGCGAATTGCTGGATCAAGAGGACCCATTAATGCCAAAATAGGTTGGGAGGGCCAAAGCATAAAAAAATAAGACTTTAAGCATCAAATAATTGCTAATTACACATTGTTCTTCAGTGAATTAGCAGCAAATTACTAATGTCAGGGGCCACGGCCCCTGCTGGGTGCTGGTCCAGTGTCTCCGCCATTGTCCGCCTGTGTTCGTTGATGACGTCTACGCGGCTTGGACTGGCTAAGTTGTAACCAAAGAAAAAAAAATAGCACGCTATACAAAATAATGCCGTTCTTTAAAATACGTTATTAGCAAGATATTGTATGCTAATTTATTTAGCTAGATAATTCTCTGTATGCTATAGCATTGCTATTAGCGACACTATAATGTGCTATTTTTTCGGTTGTTTTAACTGGTTACTATCAAAAATACCCTTAACGCCTTAATGTACTACCCAAGTAGTGCTGTAATATTGATAAATCTGGAGCGTTCGTCCACTTAAATGGGTGGCTAATATGTCTTAGATGTACTGCAAAAGCTCACAGTTTTTAAGGTTGGGCAAACAGGATTTCTACTGTAATGCGAAATGTAGTCTCATTCCTTTTGTTTAACATTTTAAATTTTCTTGTTGACATCATGTCCTTACCTAGTTACATGGAACAACGCAGGGGATTCGACGCAACTGGATTTGCTGCCGTGGATTTATATAGCGATTGGATTGCATATTTTGTACCGATCATTGGATCTTGGTTAGAAAAGCGTCGCGATGAACGTGACCAGTTGCCTGTGAGACAATGGCCGAAGAAACAAATACAAAAACTCGTGTCAAATCTAATAGGTATGACTATGTGCTTGTTAGTTGTCCTAGTGGTGGTCTTCGCTTTTGGTGGACCAACGGCTTGCGTGTTGCCGTCGACTCGTGCAAGAGAAGACTATGGCATCGCGGTCACAGAAGTCAGTAAAGCAAATATGAAGCGGGCGCTGAACTTATTCTACTACGCAGCTTTTGCTCACGGCCTCATACACACATTCTTGGTGGTGACTCAACTGGTTGCTAATGGTTGGCTCCCTGATATTGTTAGCCGACAACATGGTTTCAGCCCCGAGGTACTCCGTGCATATTTGCTCAAAACAAATCAGATGTGTGTAAATAACCGCACGTCTGCAACGAGCTGGAATTTGATCACCTATGGTGCCGTGTTGCTGGATTCCAGCTTACCAGAGGACTATGCCGCAGGGGCAAGGGTACTAACAATGCTGATTGATCAGGATGTACCCTTACAGGTAAGACGGCTGCTGATCAGGTCACCCAGACAAAGAATAGAGAAGCTGATCGGCACCCTTGCTTGGAGAAGCCCAGCCGACCAAGAGATGATATGGCTTGCAGCAAGGATTGTGGAGCATCTCGCTAGCGACCTCAACCTTGCTCACTTTCCAGGAACATTGGAATGTATATCATCCCTCTTCAATCAATTACCAGTTGTATCTGGGCAAGTAACTGAGAATCTGGTTTTGCCAGGCTTGAGAATTCTAAGGAACCTGGCTCATGATGAAGATAACTGCAAAGCGATATACAGCAACAAGGGTCTTCTTTCCAAAATAGATGCGCCTCTCCGCTCCAACGGATTAGCAGAAGATATCAAGAGCAGCGCTGCATGGACCAAGGTAGTACACGGGTCACTGACAGTGGTGACGAAGCTCATGATAACTTGTGCAGGAGCCACCGGCAAAGAGATGCGAGGCCTAATTGCAGATGATAGTCATGTGGTCAGAAACTTGGAGGCCGTCATCGATATTAAGAGTGACAGAAGCAGTACCACAGACCTGCAGCTGATAGCTTTAAAGGCTCTTTTACAATTAGCAATGCATAATCCAGCAAGTACTTCCACAGAAAGACTTATTGAGATGGCACTGCACATCTTCATTTCTACAGATTGGATGGGAGATTATTTGAAACATGGGAAAAACAGGATGAAAGAAGCTAAGAGAACTGCAAACCTGCTCAAACAACATGCTGGTGAAGCATTGGAAATACTGTCCAGTCATCCAGAGGCTATCAAGAGCTTCACAGTATGCGATGATGATATCCATCGTCTTACTGAATTGCTCAACTCCAATATTAAGACCACTGAATGCAAAATAAGTGATACAGAGACAGTGGAAATAGAGATCAACATTGGCAGTCGTATTAGTGCAGCAACCATCTTGAAGCATTTGAGCAACTACGTCAAATTACCAACCTTACGGAAGGTATGCTGTAACCCACCTACTGCATGCCACAAGTTTTCGCCAATAAACTTTCCCAGGGAAAAAAATGTACAGGCAAGGATGGGTGCTTTAGTTTATGGTTTATCTAATTATGAATCTTCAAATAATTCTCAAAAAAAATTGTAGACTTGCATCTTGTTATACCATGAGCACCTGCAAAATTTGATGAAAAAAAAGACAAGGGACTGCTGTTACACTGTTAAAAAAAAAGCTGAACAGTCTTTTCTGTGCAGGGTATATTTGATCATATTTTTGCACAAATTTTAGTAGGTGCTCAAGTTACAACAAGATACATATGATTTTTTTAGAATGTTTTAGACAGGTAATTAGGTAACCCTAAACTCAAGCATCCACCCTTGCAAGTACAAGATCCACTCACTTGATTTTTTTTTTTTAGCTAAATAATATGTGCGCGTATCGTTGCAGGCACTCGGGCAATTGTTTCCTATACAACAGGATGAGCCTATCAAGGGCAGGACGCTGCAAGCATTACTGTTATCACTCGTCGTGAAGATTTGTGCGAACAACAATATTGATCTTGCAGTAATCTTACTCCAGCAGACGCCGCCGGATTCCCTGGAAGACTTTGTGGTGAGTCTCAAGAAGATGGTGAAGGACAACATGTACGGCCCCGGTGAGTGCCTGGCGATACATAAGCTCAGCTGCAAGATGGTTACAGAACTCATGAAGCATGATGGAAACATCCAAGTGATCGACAAGCACAATATCGTTGGCACATTATTGGAGGCTTCAAAGGCAATGGCCGAGTTTGAGAGCAGCATGCTTTTTTCTGGCTTCAATCATTATGACCGCTACGGGGTTCCTCTGAAGCCTCTTTTGTCTGTTCTCTCCAAAAACACTGAAGATCTTTTGATACAGAGGAAACAGGCCCTGGGCATCTACACTGTGCCTGCCTCTGTACCAGTACCACTACCATGATTGTTGCATCACGAAGTATCTGATTATGGTAAAAGTACTGAAACATGTATTGAATTCTCGGTGTTGTATGCTTGCTGTTTCTGCTATTGTTTCCTTTGCCAACTTGTGAGAATTTGTAATAACTGATCGTGTGCACCTTCAGGTGCAGAGACCGGGAATGCCATCCTTCCATTATCTAAAAGAACTGCAACCGTTTGTGCGTTAAGGCTAGATCCAATTCTATATTGCGCCTGTCAGTGTACGAGTTCAGCATGGAGCTGCCAACTAATGTCCTGCCGAATGGCAATGCAATTCTCACCCACGTGCCACTTCTGTTGAGACTTGCTTAATTTGTTACTATCCAATGTTGACATATTAACTGGCAGAACTCATCCTGCCAATGCTGAATGGTCACTTTTATCTTGTTGTTCGTCAGTCCATGTAACTGACAGTGCAACTGCATCTTTGTGGAGTCAAAAAAATTACTTAAAAGAATATTCCGTACCACTCAAAAAACTGTTATCTTCTTGTCCCACGGAGCAGTAGGTTGGTATCCCTGTGGTGTGAGCAGTAAACCTTTTAATGCCACATATATGACAGGTGGGGGAGGGAACAGCCGATAGCTATTGAGCATCGATCAGGTCCACCAGAGTAAAATTCAGTCGCAATCAGTCACTCACCTATCCAGGTCATCGAGTTCGGATTTGCACGGGACCCTGCATAATGACCCCCAAATCACCTAAACATTTTGAAACACACACTGAACACTTTTTTGAATGGTACAAACCCTTTTCAAAATTACATAGACATTTTTTTACTTTGTGTTAACCTTTTAAAAAAATCACGAAAACATTTTTGATTTTTTAATTCTTTAAATGACACGCACATTTTTTTTTGAATTGAATGAAAAAAATTTCTAAATTATGAGAACATTTTCTTACATTGTAGAAACTTTTTTTAAGGGCACAGACATATTTTTGAAATGTCTGAATTTTTTTTAGTTCTCTTGAACATTTGTCTGAGTGGTACAATTATGAGAACATTCAGTGAACATTGTTGTTACATTGTATTAACATTGTTTTAAATGACACAAACATTTTTTATACAATAACTGGGCATTTTTTGACATTGTATTCAGAGTTTTTGAAAATGTCATGAATATTTTTTTCAAACACACAAAGATATTTTTTAATGGTATCAACATTTTTTATAGTTGCACCAATAATTTTTTACACCGAAGGAATATATTTTCCAAATGTAACATGAAGGTTTTGAAAATTTAATTATAGCTTTCCTTTTAAAAATAAAGATAAAATAAAATTAGTAAAAAAAAACATGCGGAACAGGACGTGAGCCGGCCACTTATTAAGCACTAGGTTGTTTGGTCAAGCAGCATGCGAGAAAACGCGTTTCTCTAATAGTGCAAGCAACGCCTGAAACGAGTCGCTAATGGGCAGGCCCACTTTGGCACGCTCCATTTTACATGGGTTTGCTTTGCTTCTCTCTCTCTTTGGTTTTCTATAGGCTGTTTTTATTAACCAATTGCTGGATTTTTTAAGGGATCTAAATAAAAATTCCTAAAAAATATGGAAAAATGTGCAGTGTGTATTTTTTTTATAAAGTCCAATATGTATTAGGAAAAATCCACCGTATATTAAAAGCAAGCTCACCGTCCATCACAAAATGTTCATCGCACATTGAAAAATGTTCATCGGACGCTGGGCAAGACAAGTGCTCCGCTTCACATAACCATTACATCCAGCAGTGTGGGTGTGGGAAGAGGAGGCTGCAAGCAGAGCTCATATCACTTGTCGCGGCTATTCGTGCAAACAGCAATCTTAACTTTGCAGCAATCCTGATTTCGCAGCCTCAACCGGTCGCCCTGGAAGATTTTGTGGTGAGGCTCAAGAAGATGGTGGAGGACAACATGTACGCCACCCCTGCTTGCCTGGCGATACAGAAGCTTACATGTGAGATGGTTACAGGATTCCTCCAGGATGATCGAAACGTCGAAGTGATCGACAAGCACAATATCATTGGCGCATTACTAAAGGCTTCAGAGGTGATGGCTGGGCTTGAGAGCAGCATGCTTTTTGCTGGCGTCCATCATGACTGCCACGGGGTTCCTCTAAAGCCTCTCTCTTCTATTCTCGCCAAACGGGCAGAAGATCTTTTGGCACAGAAGAAACAGGTTCAGGCCTAAGGCATCAAGAGTGGAATTGCAGGTATATCATCAGCGTGATTGCTGCGTTACAGAATATTTCAGTATTTTAAAAATACTGAGACGGGTACTGAATTCCCGTTGTGCTATATGGTACCCTGCGCGCAGTCGCAATCCGCACCGGCCGGGGCGCACGGGCACAGACGCGCCAATGGCCGCCCACGCTGTAGTCGCCACCGCTTCACGGCAGGACTGGGATCCATTCAGATTCAGAGTCAGATTCAGTCAGGGCATGCGCCACACTCGTAACAAGCAGAAGAGTTTAATCCTCCACCGTTTCTCTGCTAGCGTGTACGTAGATGAGTTGTGTGTTGTGTGCCCCGGAAAAAAAAAAGCTGGTCCATCGAACGAGTGCGCGGACGCTAAGCAAGGAAGGAAGGATGGAGAAGGCCCAGAATTTATTCACCCGTCCGTGCAACGCCTGGCGCCCTCATCACGCCTCGATTCCTTCCTTGCGCGTCGCTGGAATACGGAGCCCAACTCAAAACAAAAAAAAAACTCAAAACAAAAAGAATACAACGCGCAAAGAACGTGTCCCTAAAAAAATGTCTTTTTTTCCATCCCCACAAATAACACAATCTTGCAGTCAAGTCCCTGAAATCTTGCAGCCAACACCCTAAAGTTTCCTTTTCATCGCAAACAAGACCAAAATTTCGACTAGCCGGGTGAATTTTCACTAGAAATTTCGGGCAGCATAACGCGTCTCGTATTTCGTATTTCACGTCAAGGCCTGCCATTGCAACCACCCCGTCGCCCAGTCGGCTTCGATCTTCATTCATTTTTTTATTAATTGATAGCTGGATGCATGGAGAGGTTGAAAATAAGCTACTTTCATAACACATTACTCCCTTCGTCCGGAAAAGCTTGTCCCTCAAATGGATGTATCTAGCACCAAGTTAGTGCTAGATACATCCATTTGAGGCACAAACTTGCGACAAGCTTTTTCGGACGGAGGGAGTACTACATATCCTGACTGACTGACTGACATGACACATATATACCTGTATGTAAGCATGTAGAGGTCGGTCAAATCACTAGTATGTGCAAATACATCCACTGGTCATTTTGAAAATCCATTAAGCACAAGACAAACTACTAAAATTAAAAGGCTACTTGCAAGCCTGATGAGATGGCCATGCATCAAACCAAGCATTGATCATCTTTAATTGCTCTGAATTACTACTGCATGCAGACCGAAATCGAACGACCATGTGATGTCTACGTTGAACAGAATAGAATAACCAATCAGCTTTGCCATTAGCTAATAACCATGACGAATATACAGGAACAAGAGTAGCCGCCTGCCAGTGCGCCTATCCTAACAAACGAGTAGGAATTAACCATGATGAATACTAGATTATCGTCTGCTCCTGCTCCTGTCCTATGCAATCCAATGCGCTAGCTAGATTATTATACTAGTATTTATTGCATAACAATGAAGAGAGACTTGATCTGAACACATACATACGAGTAGACGAGTAGACGACCAGCCTGGAGGGAGAGCTCTGCCTGGGTGCCGCGGTCGTGCGAGCATCATGTCGTAGTCGTGGGCCGAGGCGGTCGTCAATCGTTCAAGTGGAGGGATATGGGACAAGAACTTGGAGCAGAGAGATGTCGCCGCCGTTGTCCAGAGGAGAGGCCATCAAAGAAACCCTGGGTCAATAGCTTTGTATGCGATGTGGATGTTGGACGATGGAGGAGAAAGGCGGGACAGATCTGAGGGGGGCTGAATTTATAGGGACAGGAGCAGTGTGGGCATCATCCGGTGGCGGCGAAGAACGCTATGAGGCGTTGGATGGGAGAGGGATCCGCGTGAGGCGCGCGAGAGCCAATCAGATAAGACGGTGGAGGATTAAAAGCTTCTGCGTGGGTTTAGGATCCAGGATTAAATATAGTGCTCTTTTTTTTTCCTTTTTTGAGTGAAACTAACTCGTTGTTCCTCTCAACAATTTTTCCCGTCTACATGGGTGAACTTGACAGGCTGCAGGATTATGGACCCATCTAAAAGGCTGCTAGACAAGAGTTGGATTCGCTCTTCAGCGGCCGGAGATGAAGCGGTGAACGGCGTCTAACAAGGGGAGGGGTGGGATGGCAACAAGAATAAGCGGGGGATGAGAACTAGCGTGACGGGGCAACCCAAGATGGGATAGCAATGCGAGGGAGTGGCGGAGTAGACGAGCTGCAGTCCGGCGCCTTGCGGACAGAAGTAGAAGAGCACGGCCATGTCTTTCTTGATTTTCATTGGATCAGTAGAAGAGTACATATACGTTCATCTTTCTTACTTATACATTTGGAATAGCAATAGCAGCTTGAACATATCTCATGGATCGATCTATCCAAATAGTGTACTTGCACAAGGTAGCTTTTACTAATCATGATTCTAATCATGTTTTACATAAGTTATGCAATAGTGTCAATGGTTGGTGTTAACTGAACAAATCTATTATCATGCTAATGCTATAGTGATTAAGTTAGACCAGTTGAGCATTCGTATGGATCTCTTCCTGTTGCTATTTCTTTATGAGTTTTCAATAGTTCAATACAATTAGCCCTAAAAAAATTGACAGTCACGCATCAATGTGTTTTCTTCCTACCAGGTAAATATAAATACTAGTGATAGTCAGTTTTGACAAGAACACCAATTTAGTCCTTGATTAGGGGAAAACTCAAATGGCAACAACAAGCCCTGTATATAATCTTTGTGTATTAGGCAGAGTCTTCAAATATGGTAATGTCAGGTCTCTGTCAGGATATACATGCATTACTGCTATAGTTGTTCAATTATGCATTAGCAAAATGA